GACCGACCGACCGACCGACCGACCGACCGACCGACCGACCGACCGACCGACCGACCGACCGACCGACCGACCGACCGACCGACCGACCGACCGACCGACCGACCGACCGACCGACCGACCGACCGACCGACCGACCGACCGACCGACCGACCGACCGACCGACCGACCGACCGACCGACCGACCGACCGACCGACCGACCGACCGACCGACCGACCGACCGACCGACCGACCGACCGACCGACCGACCGACCGACCGACCGACCGACCGACCGACCGACCGACCGACCGACCGACCGACCGACCGACCGACCGACCGACCGACCGACCGACCGACCGACCGACCGACCGACCGACCGACCGACCGACCGACCGACCGACCGACCGACCGACCGACCGACCGACCGACCGACCGACCGACCGACCGACCGACCGACCGACCGACCGACCGACCGACCGACCGACCGACCGACCGACCGACCTGACTGACTGACCGACCATTCGACAGACCGACCATTCGACCGACCGACAGACTGACCAACCGACCGACAGACTGACCAACCGACCGACAGACTGACCAACCGACCGACAGACCGACAGACCGACAGACCGACAGACCGACAGACCGACAGACCGACATATTAGCAGTCAGACTCTCAAATTGTTAGGCGAATTATACAAATGTCATACAAAAAAAAAAACAGACAGAAAACAGACGTAGAGAGATAAAAAGATACAGCCATACAATATAGTCGCCATGTCTTCCAAGCGCGCACAACACTACAATACACTAGTGGTGTCAGGCTGCATCTTAGAGGCGTGTTCTCGGTCGTAAGTACAAACGGATGGGTTTTAATTGTTTGGGAAGCACGTGCATTTAAACTAAGTCGTAGTGAATATGCTTTTTGTTTCATCCATAGATCCTTTATTTTGTTCATCCTCGGCTTTACTGGGTCTATCAAATAAAATGAAATGTAGAGGTTATTGTCCCCTGACAAAATATTTAAAATAGCCTATAACTGTAAATAGGATAGAGGGTATTATTATTAAACTCTATTATTTTTAACGATTCTTTGTTTCAGTCAGTCTTGTTTTGTAACCCGTTTGTGTTTGTTCATCTTATATGTTGCGATACGCACTGGATCATCCGTAAAGGTGTGCCCGTGTATTCGCAACAAAAAATATACTATATTAAAAAAAAAAACTTTATTGTAATTTGGATCTAATATCCTTGCTTCATATTCAAATTTATAAAATCCCTAATTTCTCGCTAATTCGTATAAATATATGTGTGTTTATAAATGAAACAATTATAATGCCATTCTTGACTACATTTTTAAAATCTAATATATAAAGCTCAATTCTGTATGTAAAATATTTGTTTGAATAATTTGTTTGTCGTGGATACTTCAATGGATTTAAGTGTTAAATTATTATCGTGCTCACGGTCTAAATTTAATCTGAGTTAAAAAATTACTATTGAAAGTGTTGGGAAATAATTTTCATTTTTCAAACTGATAGTAATAATTGTCGGCATGTTCATTAAACACAATTTTTAAAAAATATCATCTTTTACAAAAATTCTAATTGTGTCTGAAAATTATTTATATTTAGCCCTTTAGCACTTACTTCCCTTTGATAAATTAGGAAAACACAATTACTTCCCTTTATAAAACATTGCATTAGTGGAAAAGAATTTACTTTTTATTACTTGGTTTTGGTGTTGGGAACCAAAAAAATTACATTATTAGCGGGGATTGATCAAGTGCAAATGTTGTAGGTATTTTACGGATAAGCTTGGAGTATTATAATTGTTCATTAAATTGAAACAGGCGCCCCCGCCGGCGCCCCACCAAGGTTCAATTTGGCGCCCTGGGTTATCCTTTGAGCGCTATGGTGCATAATTTTGCTTTAGACAGTGCGATAGAGTATGGATAAGAGTATGGATAACAAATGTTACTATAGTGTTTAAGTGAATAGAATCCAGACAGGGTGCTATTTGGGGCCCCGGGCCTCCCGTGTTCGGTTTGGCGCCTACGTTCGTTAAAGTGAGTGCAAAAGACTATGAATAAGTTGAGGTACTATAGTCGTTTATTAAGCTGAAACAGGCGATTCTGCCCCGGGCTAGACTGTGAGCACTTTGCGTTTATGTTCGCGTTAGTGTTTTCTTTGTATTTAGGTTGGGTTTGTGTTAGTGGTTGCGTTAAGATTTGGTTCGTTTTTGTTCTTTCTTTTTTCGTTTTCGTTTGTGTTTTTTTGGGTTTGTGTTTGTGTTTGTATTTGTGTTTGTGGTTGGTTTTGCGTTTGGACTTGGTTTGTTTTCGTTTGCTTTTTCGTTTGTGTTTTTTTTCTTTGGGTTTGTGTTTGTGGTTGGTTTTGCGTTTGGATTTGGTTTGTTTTCGTTTGCTTTTTCGTTTTTTTTTTTCTTTATGTTCGTATTGGTGTTTGTGGTTGTGGTTGGGTTTGTTGTTAGGTTTTTGTTTTCGTTTGCTTTTTTGTTTG